TCTAGCTGGATCCATTTAAAAAATTCATGAGCCATTTGATTAAGCTCGATAAGGAGTTACAAATCACTTTAACATCATTTTAATATTTTATACTTGATAGTTTGTAAATTTAAATACCATAGGACAAATACAATTTTTCAATCATTTTGATACTTTATACTTGATATTTTTCAAATTTAAATACTTTAGTTCAAACACAAATTTTCAGTTTTTTTAGAATACATATCCACTAAATAAAACTTTAGACTCATAATGATTGATTATTCACGAAATTTAGTTCATGGTGATAAACACATGCCATTATGACATTAAAGAGCAAACAGGAACCCTTACCCATATTTATTAATAAAATATTATGTCTATGTCGATAATCTCTAAAATCAGGTATTGGATATGTGTCATGTCGTTTCGTGGGATTTGAGAGACTGTGTATTTATTGTAAGGACGTTATAAAATCTTCGCTGTAAATAAGATTTATGCACTAGAACTGACATCAATGAATTCTATTCTCCTTTCGAGCAACACGATGTCATGAATGATGTGTTTATCATCATGAATAAAGTAACAGTATTATTTGATGAGCATATGATTTTGAGGTTTTATTTTATTATGATTTTAATTGTAAATCTTTATTTTCAGGACATGGTGCAGAGATACTATGGAAGGGTAAGTCGTGCATGGTTACTTGGATTTTTTCGGGTTACAGGTATCAATTGATATATGAATATTTATTATTTTGATGAATTGTTCCTTTGGAACAACCTCAAGAAACTAGGCAAAAAGTCTAATTATTCTGGATCATGGGTTTGGGTTTAAATATTCATCTGGACCATTGTATGGCAAATTATATTCGTAGTGTGCAATGCGATTTAGTTGATGATAAATTATATGCTACGTACAGGCATTAATCGACATCACGCTTATTGCGGTACACAATAAGTGTTTTACATTCGTTCATCGGTTTTGTGAATATGAACGGCCTGGAGCTCGTTACCGCCGCGACGATCTTAATGACTTCATTAATGCGAGTCAGCAGCGTTCGTCGGACGTCGGACGCGCTCTTTGCTCATAGCCACGTTCGCTGAGCAGGCGCTCTCAAATAACTAATTTAGTACCAGAAATTGAACATTTAACAGGGTTTTATTTAAAAATTCATTAAAATTACTATAATAGGCGATATTATAAATACAGTAGAACCTCAATTATCCGGACCTCGGTTATACGGATTCGCGATTATCCGGACATAATCGCATCGGAACTTGCATATTCTGATGTGCATATATACATTAATACATTCTCTGTTTTGACGTGCATATATACATTTTTAAAGGGTGGTGTTATCCCTTGAAGATAAAATAAATATTATAGAATCATTAAAAAAGGCGAAACCGGCCGTAAGTTAGCTGATAGGTATGGTGTAGATACATCCACTATAAGCGATATTAAAAAGAATGCCGATTCAATTTTGTCGCACACTTGCAAGTTAGATAAGAAAGATGGGAGTGAAAATCGGAAAATGGCGAAGAGACCAAAAATGAACTCTTAGAAGAAGCTCTATATTGTTGGTTTTTACAAAAACAATCAACAAATTATTTGTAAGCAACTTTTCTTCTTCATTGATACTTTACGTATCATCTGAATATTTTACCTCATGATTAATATAATATGTATATTGTAATCTAAGAAAATATGTAAGTGTTAATTTTCTAATAAACATCGATTTTTGTTGATATCTATATATGCATTTGTTATTTTTGATAAACAAAACATTATTCTTCATAATTTGGATTATCCGGATTTTCGATTATCCGGATGCCTATCGACAACAATTAGTCCGGATAATCGAGGTTCTACTGTATATTTATTTATTTCACTTTTATTCTTTAAAATTTATTTAGTATTTGTGTATGTTACTAATCAAAATTTGATCGCATTCAGAAAAAAACAACATTGCCGCTTTAATATTTTCTTCTATATTTTATATTAGTTTTGTGATAGCTTTTTTACCAAACATAATAAATATATTTTATACTGCGATGAAGATTGAGATACGCCGACGAAGAGATGCTGGTCCATTACTTTTTGTGTTGTGTTTTATATTGTGCAAATCTTCTATCGCAGTACCAGCCAGCAAAGGGATTATGTTTGCTTACCTCGCACTTGTAAACTCATTGTGAGCTGCCATATAATATCGATACTGTGATTTTATTCATTATGATTATTTTATTGCCGCCTTTTATTCATCCGCCCATTTTATTATTTGCTTGCAATCCCGACATAAAATTGTTTTTGTGTGTAATATCATTATAGTGAGTGAATAAATATTATTTATTTATTGTGAATTTAACGCTTATTATGAAGTGGTTATTTATCTATTATTATACAGTAGAACTCCAATTATCCGAACTCCGACTATCCGAACTCCAATTATCCGAACTCCGACAATCCGAATCGCCGATTATCCGAATCACTTTCAGAAAAAAAATTGTCCAAAAAAGTCTAAGTGCGCTATTATTTTTCCACCAGCAAAGCCAGTGTAGGCACATTGTTTGTTTTGATTTGACGGAGATGTTCACAAAACAATGATTTTTATTTCTAAACTTGTACTTTTTTTTTTAACTCGTTTAAGTACATTTTATTTATATTTAAAACATGTGAAAATGTCATGTTTCTTTCTTTTAATTCAATAAAAAAAATAGTGCAATATCAAAACGTAACTTTTTTTCTCTCCCAATGGCAATTTAAAAAAAAAAAAAACTCCGATTATCCGAATATTTGATTATCCGAATGGGTCCCGGTCCCCATTATTCGGATAATTGGAGTTCTCCTGTATTATAATATGCTTGTACCGTATAGTAGTAAGTGTATATATAAAGTTTATTATATTCTTATGACATAGAGAGTCATTTAACACGAGATTGTTGATGATGTGATTGTAATTATTGCAATTGGCGTTGCACCCCAAAGATCTCATGAATAATCAGTGAGCAAGGTCAGATGTGACAAGCACTTGTGCGCGCAGCTACATCGCGTTGTGTTCACGGCTACATTGGTCGTGTTCGTTCCAGCAGTGAAGTACATAGCCAAAACTGCAGGATATCGAAAGACCGAAGAACCGAGTTTCGAGATTTCGAAGCAGCGCACCGTAAGCGGCAGGAACACATCATAGTCCAGTCATTTGGTGCAAAAAAAGGCTGTTGCCGGTACAGTACTCCGAGAATTCTGAAAATTGGAAATTTTATAGATTTTGAGGTGCTCTTTACGAAAATCAACTTTGCCACCTCAAATTTGAACGCAAGTTGCTGCCATATTGAAAAAATGGCGTCAAAAAACAGTTTTTTTTAAATATCTCCTTTCTGGCTGATTCTGCGATAAAAGTATCTATGCACGAATTAAACCAGAGAAAATTTCCTACAATTCCTTAGAAAACCGTTTTTTTTGTAAAATTGATAGTTTGAGAGTACGGCCGCCTCAAAGTCTTTGCTGCTCTCGCCGTAGTGTCTAATTTGTCCATATATGACAGCACTCCGAACTTGACCACATTCTCTCTAATAATTAATATTTTCAATGTTAAATTAAGCGAATAAGATCTAGAAATAAAATAATTCAAATATTTTTCTGTTTTTTTGCTGATTTTTTAACGCTTCAAGCTACTTGAAGCTATGAGGTGCTACTCAAGCTAGGCGGCATAGTCATTTTACCGTTGCGCTCGGATGCCGCCGCACCGGCGGCATGATATGTTTTGCCGTTAAGCTCGGATGCCGCCGCTCCGGCGGCAAATCGTGTCGGCGACGACTCGTCGCAAACTAAACTTACATTTAATTTTTTTTTTTTTTTCTTAAATTAATTTACTATTACATTCAATTATTGATTGATTTATTAATTTTATAAATAAATATATAACAAAATTTATTTATTAGCTCATGATCCCCATAATTCTAATAAAGATCTGTGAAGAAATGATTTTTTAAACAATATAGCATGGTTTTGAGTGCATTTTTTTTTAATTTTCAAAATTTTCTATTTTATTATCATAATAACTATATTTAAAAGCAATATAACCACATTTTGAAAAAAATCGATACAAAAAAAAATTCCGAGTTGAGAGATAAGTATAGCACTATAATATTCCGAGCGCAGCGTACCGACTGGCAATCCGGCTCCCGAGTCGAAAGGGTTAATTCGTACATATATACTTTTATCGTAGAATGAGCCAGAAAGGAGATATTTTAAAAAAGCTGTTTTTTGACGCCATTTTTTCAATATGGCGGCAACTTGCCGTTCAAATTTGAGGTGGCAAAGTTGATTTTCGTAAAGAGCACCTCGAAATCTATAAGATTACCAATTTTTAGAATTCCCGGAGTACTGTACCGGCAAAACGACCAAATGACTGGACTATCAAGCACAATCGGAGATCGCGCGCCCCTTGTGCAACGAGGCAGTCGAGCGCAAGAAAGAACGCAATGGAAAGAAGCATCCCACTCTTGAGCACTGGAGGCATCGCGAGAGTCCTCTCCCTGTCTCTTTTTCGCTCACCGGGCGCCGCGAGTGCGTCCCTTTCTCTCGCGTTCGCCGGACCCGCCCGTAACAGAATCCCATTACTGGTTAGTTGAGTTGTAAGCGCTGGCTGTCAACTCTTGGAAGCCAGTGAGCATCTGAGCGCTTTACGGGACGGTTGTTATTCGTTTGTCACATTTTCTCATAATTTACTTTAATTATGTGCACGTGTTGTTGACAAGTAGTGGACGGAGTAGTGTGTGAGTGCTATGAATTTAATTCGTACAACACGTGTGTGATGATACATTGGATTATACATAGAAGTGTGATTTAAAGTTAACAATTTCATTGGATATGCCGATAATTTTTGGATATAATAGAATTTGAATTGCAAAGCGGACAAGTGTTCGGTTGTTCAGCTTGACAGTGTTGGGACCGAAAAGGATATAAATGATTTAAAATTAGTGTGATGGCGATATCGCGATAACCTCTTCAGCGCTATTATGCCGGAGAAGGAGGGGTTCAGTAACGAACAAGTGCAGGTTCAATTGCACGCATTTCATCATCACCACAACCCGCACCAACAGCAGAGAGGCGGTCAATTGCCACTGCAGTTCCCGTCAGCGTTCGCGGCGTTTCACGCGGCACCGCTGTCGGCGGAACACCATTCTTCGCCAGGATCTGTGGCCGCCGCGGCCGCCGCGCAAGGCGATCGCTCTGGCCTGGTGAGGCACGCACCTGCAGGCCCGCCGCCACCAGCCTTCCATCACCCTGCTCATGGGTAAGTTTCTCTTCATATCAAAACTCTAATGATTAGTGTACTATCTGCATGTCAATAAACACTGAACAAGTGTTGAGATTATTCTTAATGTTTTCATTGCGGCATAACATAATTTTAAACGTAATATTACTAGGTATCTCATAAATAATAGGAATATAGTATTTACTGCCACGTTTTAACTAATTTATTTACTGCATACTTCAATCTATATTAAATGCAAAACAAATCATCAATATTATTATCATTATATCTCCAATCTATTTTATTTGAAATAGTTGCACCTTTCATAGATATTTTCGACATTTGTAGAATGATCACTCTTATCGTTGCTCTATTTCAAGCTTTACTAAAGTAAGTGAACTATAAAAGGAATTTTAAATGACGCTAAATAAGACAAAAAATACCCTAGCGACGTCGGGAAAAAATAAAATAATAATTCAGTCATTGACTATACTTATATCCAATATCCGTTCGATAAGTAAAAGACGTTAGAGCAGACACAATAAACTTATTGTACTAATAATTACAATCTGCGATTAATCTAATATAAAATGTTGTATAAACAACAAACATAGGTTTCATGATTAATCATATTAGATAATGGAGAAGAATGTTTACAAACAATCTTTAAAATAAACACTGTTGATCTTTTGAAATCTTTATCACTCGGATGCTGAAAGGACTTCATTGTCTATAAAAATCTATTTGATAGTCTAGCTAAGAATGTTTATAACATTTGCGGCTGGAAAGATACAAAATATATTTCATTAATTATTTATCATTCACAGCTATTTACTATACTTATCTCCAAAATCCATAAATAAGTCATCAATGCAGAATATAAAACTAATAATACTTATAATTGCAATCTGCGATTTATCTAATATAAAATACTGTATAAACAACAAACATACGTTGCATGATTAATCATATTAAATAATAGAGAAGAATGTTACAATCGTCTTTAAAATAAATAGTGTTGATCTTTTGAAACTTTATCTCTCGGATGTTGAAAGGACTTCATTGTCTATAGAAAGCTATTTGATAGTCTAGCTAAAAATGTTTATAATAATTGCGACTGGAAAGATACAAAATATATTTCAGTTTCATTCATATTTTGACGCTTATAACTTATGAATATATATGTACAGTTAAGCTTCATTTTACTACCAAAATATTTGAAAATTCTAATGTGACGCCAAACTTGCACGCTGTTCAATTACTTATTGTAATTAAACAAGATTACTTATTGTAGAGATTAGTGATAATGAACGGTTGAATATAAATGCAGCTTTTAGAAAAAGCTATAAACAAATACAAGTGTGTCCCAGGCAGATACTTGAAAGATCCACTTGAGAAATTAGTCTGGTTTTCCGTTCTATCAGCCGATACGCAACTGTCCTGTGCAGCATCGTTCCTTTTCTCGTCGTCTCAAACCGGCCGCTCTGTACCTTGTACGTTGACCGTATTTTTATCTCGGTTTAACGCATACCACGATAAATATTATAAGACGTAACAATTTATTAAGTCGACTATATTACCAGAGCAGAGAATGACGTCCAGAAAGAGTTCTCTTCGGATGGGGGGCACGAAAGTCACTAATTAGCGAACAAAGCAGATCTCCCCACCGGCTATCTTAATACTTTTGTCCAACAAAATGTAATTGAACAATGATAATAAAATTTCATTATAAATATAAAACATATTTATTTGTTATGGCAACGCTATGTCACGGATCTATCTTTGTATGAATTGGTAGTAAAAACTGCCAATGTTATGTATTATGGTATTTCACACCTAACTTACAAAGCGCACAAACGTCGAATAACATTTTTATCATAAATGCATCTTTCTAATGTGCCCTTGATAATGCTTACGTGAAGTTAGGTTTTATGTGTAAAACGCATGGTCGAACAGCAAATACATAGCTTTTCGACAGTTTTTACTACCAATTCATACGAAGATAGGACCGTAACATAACGTTGCCATAACATTTCCAATTTTTCGGTGAAGGAGCCAATCCTCAATAAATTGCAATTAACCAGCCATAATGGCTTAATTTCACAAAAGTGAAAATTGATATGCACATTTTATATGCGCTTCCACTTTTTTGTTTCTCGTTGTTAGAATTTTTTAAAATGCCTTTTATATTTATAATCAAATTGCATTATTTATTGTTCAATTATATTTTGCTGGACAAAAGTGATAAGATATACGGTGGGGATCTACTTTGTTCTACGTAATGTTTCAATTTCGACTATGATAATGTGGGAATAAACGTTTTGCATATAAGAGGAATAGAAAATATTTTGTTACATTGACTAGTTTCTAACCCTCTATGGGCTCACTTGATTTTCAAGTGATATTCCAAATTTTTCAATATTTTACCAAATAATTATGGCTTTTTTGTTCTATAACGTTTTCAAGACGGCCAATATCAATATTTGGAAGCTCTGCTAAGCTTTTTAACCTGAAATAACTTTCTTATACAGAAGTGCTAACATTATAGACCGCTTAACTTTCATGCCACATTCCAAATTTTTCAATATTTTACCAAATAATTTGTTTTTTCGTTCTATAATCTTCATTCTAAAACGTTTTCAAGGCAGCCAATATCAATTGGAACCTCTGCTAGGCTTTTTAACCTGAAATAACTTTTTCTTATACAGAAGTGCGAACATTATAGGTCGCACGTGAGTTGAAAGTCACATAATAATTTGATAAAACAAAATTTTTATTTTTTAGTTTTATATAGAAATGTATATTTTTGCATCTTTTGTTTCCCTATTGTTATGGATGTAAAACAAAAATTCGGCCCATACAGGGTTAATAATGCTTGTAGGATAGATTAACGTGTAGATTTATGAAGTCAATGGGGCTTTGTAAATTTAATATCATTCCTCCGAGACTAAACGCATTAGTCGGCAATGATACTACTATCAGATTTATATAATATTGATGTTACATCTAAAACAAATTACATATGTACTTTAAAACGTTAACATAGACCAGGGGTCGGCAACCCGATTGCCGTTAAGGGCGCAAAACTAAATCTGAAAATTACACTGAAACACTTTGCAGAAGATCATCTTCGGCAACTTTGAATGGGTTTATAAAAAATCCTAGAACGGGTTCTAGTGCTGCGAAATCTTGAACAAAACTCTTCTGCCAATTTGACTATAACTTCTAAATATGATATAGTAGTAAAATTTTCTATATTTATTTTAAGACTTTAACAATAATCCTTTTAACAATATGCCTTATATTTGGAAAATGTGAAATTGATTTATGCTAAGGTTATCATACATTTACATTAACCGAGGGCGCATTTAAAGTTGATCGGGGGCGCCATGGCGCCCGCGGGCGCCGCGTTGCCGACCTCTGACATAGACTTATCTAATAAAATGAGTTCAAAAGCTTTTATGCACGAGATTTAATGAAATGTCTTAAGAATTGCATTCATTGAAAAGATAATCTACGCAGTTAGGACAATAATTATATATTTAACATAAACAGACATACATACATTCTTATTACCCGGCACGCACATCTAAGATAAACACATGATATTATCTACTTATTCAAAGAGACTACCTGACTAGAAATGCTTTCGAAACGAGCGAGACATCGGCCGATGAATGCATGATCGTAATTATGTATTTATCGCTTCTTCGTGTAATGGTAAAAAAATAGTTTATTACGAAAGTAATCATTGAATATTTCAGGATGATTCTCATCGTATTAAAATACTGCAATTATTTCTAGTGAAGTGAAATTGTTTAATGGCGCAAGATATTCATCCGAGATGATGGTAATCAAATATTATAGTCATCTCTGGCGTAATAATTGCATGCGGCGGGTAATCGATGCGTCTTCGCGTATTACAGAATTGTCTAACTGTCTAACTCTAATATCATACACTTAAATATATTGATTTTAAAATGATGCTATCACGATTTAATCACGGGAATTTTTTAAACTCATCTATAGTCATGATTAACTTGCACAAAACAAATTTTGATTAATTGTTCGAGTTGTTAATGAACTTCTTAATTGGTGCAACTTGAGTGAAGTGATTCTAAATTCACCAGTTTCTAACCTGCATATAAAATCTGTTTTTTTCTTTCTTTTATTACCAATATATTTATTTTGATACACAGTTTTCAATTACCAGGAATGATGATATGCATATAAATATTTAATGATTTGGCAGAAGTGAGACGAGTTAGTGATGATGTATTAATATCATATACAAGAGAACAAGCACACATGTTTATAACAGAAATGGATATTATTTACTTTACCATAATGTCATAATATTGTGTGTTGTTATTTATGCCTTGTTAAAAATTGACAAATTGAAGTTAGATTTAATTATTTGTAATTACAAAATTCGAGTTTAATTTGATAATATATCATCACTAATATAAGAGTGTGCATTTAGAATTCGGTAGCGTTATTTAGAAATTAGTTACATACTATAGAGCAATATGAGAAATTTTTGAAATTGAAGTCATGATGATTTTCAATATGGTATTTACTCAATTTACTCAATTACGCTATTTACTCAATTGATTATATCCTATTCATTAAACTTAGTCATTAGACTTGTGGGGAATCAAGCAAGCTGGAAATTGGGGCAGAAACAAAATTACTTGTCATTTTCATATTATAAAATTTTATCATCAATAAATTGTTGATATTTTTATACAAATGGAATTTATATTCTTATATACATAATTATTTTCCATAGACTATTTAAATTTAGTCTTTATTTTTTAATATATTTTTTGTACTTGCGGTTGAACAGTTATGATAATATTCAATTTCTAGCAGAAATTGGAAAAGAATTGACCTTAGATTTTAAAGTGAAAATTTTTAGAAATAGAATTCAGTTGCTTATGTATTGCTTATAAATCGGTAGTCACAGATCATAAAAAATGAATTACATTATGTCCTCAGAGGAAAGTGGGTGCGAACCCACAATTTGAATACACACA